GGAGTGGTGGCTCACGCCTGTCATCACAGCACTTTGGGAGGCCGAGGTGGGTGGATCACGAGGTCAGGAGATAGAGACGAAACCATCTTGGCCAACATGGTGAAACCCTGTCTCTACTAAAAATACAAAAACTAGGCCAGGTGCAGTGGCTTACACCTGTAATTCCAACATTTTGGGAGGTCGAGGTGGGTGGATCACCTGAGGTCAGGAGTTCAAGACCAGCCTCAGCAACATGGAGAAACCGTCTCTACTAACAATATAAAATTAGCCAGGCAAGGTGGTCCACGCCTGTAATCTTAGCTACTTGGGAGGCTGAGGCAGGAGAATCGCTTGAACCCAGGAGGCAGAGGTTGGTTGTGAGCCAAGATCTTGCCATTGCACTCTAGCCTGGGCAACAAGAGCAAAACTTCATCTCAAAGCAAAAAAACAAAACAAAATAAAAATTAGCTAGGTGTGGTGGCACATACCTGTAATCCCAGCTACTCGGGAGGCTGAAGCAGGAGAATCACTTGAACCAGGGACTGTGATGTTGCAGTGAGCCGAGATCATTCCAATGCACTCCAGCCCACCCCTGCCCTACAAAAAAGAAATTTCTGCTACAAGACAAGCTAAATCATCTCTTTCAAGTTCAAAGCACCACACGGCAGGGGCAAATGCTACCAGTCTCTTTGTTAAAGCACAGCAAGGGTCTCCTTTACTCCAATTCCTAGCAAGTTTCTTATCTCCATCTGATATCCCCTCAGCCTGGACTTAATTCTCCGTATCACCATCAGCATTTTGCTCAAAGTCATTCAGGAAGTCTCTATGAAGTTCCAAACTTTCCCACATCTTCCTGTCTTCCTCTGAGCCCTCCAAACTGCTCCAACCCCTTCCTGTCACCCAGCTCCAAAGTTGCTTCCGCATTGTCAGGTTATTTTATAGCAGTAGCCACGCCTGTTATGAATTTTCTCTATTGGTACATTTTCACACTGCTACAAAGAATACCTGAGACGGGGTAATTTATAAGGAAAAAAGGATTAATTGACTCATAGTTCCACAAAACTGGGGAGGCCTCAGGCAACTTACAATCATGGTTGAAGGCGAAGGGAAAGCAAGGCATGTCTTACATGGTGGCAGAAGAGAGACAGAGACAGGGAGAGAGAAAGCAGGGAACTGCCAAACGTTTTTAAAATATCCGATCTCATTAGAACTCACTCAGTTTCACCAGAACAGCATGGGGAACCCGCCCCCATGATCCAATCACCTCCTCCCATGTCCCTCCCTTGACATGTGGGGATTACAGTTCCAGATGATATTTGGGTGGGACATGAAGCCAAACCATCTCGATTGCACTCCGGATGTGCTGACCCCTGTGACTTCCACAAGTGTGGGACGCTTGATTGCATCATCTGTGGTAGTGGGCACTGCATTCATACTTTCCTCTGAAAGCAATACAATAAAATAACAGTTGCTCAAATGGAATCAGGTGCCTGCTTTCAGGCTTCTCTGACAGGCGGGCACAGGGAGGCAGGGGGCCCAGTAGTGACAGCAGAGAATGTGGCTCCGATGGACATATCCCGGTTACAGATGTGGAAGAGCAAGGCCAGGCCCCTGACTTCCTTATGGATAATGGTGCATGGGTCTCGGTAACCTGGTGGGTTGGTTGAGGACTAGAGGACTTCAGCCTGGTGCGTCCTTGATCACAGAGCAGTAAGCACAGAAGCCGGCCCAGGACTCAAGCTCTGCTCCCCCAGGTGACACCTATTTCTTCAAGGGCGCCCTCTACAGGCGCTTCCCCAAGGGCGACACAAAGACCGAGCCAAACGTCCCCCCACCTCCACCTCCCGAGCTCATGGGCCCAAGTAGCTGGGCTGTCCCACCCCCAGCTCTGGCCCCCGAGCCCTCGGGCCCCCAAAGCAACCCCCGAGTCCGAAACCTGCGATTGTCAGTGCGAGCTCAACCAGGCCTCAGGACCGCAGCCTGCGCCCCTCCCGCTGCTCCTCCTGCCCCTGCTGGTGCGAGGTGTCGCCTCCCGCTGATGGGGGGCCCATCCGGAAGGAACAGCGCCCTCCACGGCCGAGTCACCCGCCGCTGGACCTGGTTGGGGGTTGTGAAGAGCTGCGGAGGCCCCTTGTCTGTTCCCAGGGACCGGGGCTCCCGCGTGGACTAAGCAGGGCGGATCTCTCGCGGAGGGCGGCGGCGGGAATTGGTCGCACCTGGCGCTGTGCTCAGCCTCAGCTGGGTCCTGCGCTCCCCGCGCCGCCTCCGGAGCCCGCGGGCGCCCGCACGCAGAGACCACGCGTCGGCCACCGCCCCCGTCCTTCCCTCCCTGTGGCCACCAGGCGGCGGTCGGACTCGCCCGAGCCCGGGGAGGGGCGCCCAGGAGGGCCGGCCCACTGGGTCACACGAAGGAAACCGCTGTCCCCCGCGCTCGCTGCCCCCGCAAGACCGTCCTTTTCCGGGAAGAGCCAGCTTTTCTCCGAGACTCTCCGCAGCCCCGCCCCGCCCCGCCTGCCCACTGTGCCTGGCCCTCCTGGATCATTTGAATACCGGCCTGACTGCGAAGCTGGGCCCAGCCCCTCTCCCACCTGCTCCCACAATGCCCCCTATAGTCACTGCCACATTGTTGGGGACCCGAAACCCAGCCTGGGACCCAGCCCAGAGACCGCCCTGAGGACCCAGGTGCCATGTCTTGGGTGGTGGCATCAGTGGCTGGAGAGACGACCCTCGCTCTCCAGACTCCGTTAACCTCGTTTCCAGTCACCCCACTTCCCCCCCAAGGCCACCCAGCCTCCCTGGGCCCATAACTGCCTCCCATTCAATTGGGCACCCTTCTGTTAGGGTCACAGCAAGGCAAGCGCATAGACCCTCTCCCCTTTCTCCCGTGCTAAGCCGAGCTCATAACAAAAACAGCCTAGGCCGGGCAAGGTGGCTCAAGCCTGTAATCCCAGCACTTTGGGAGGCCGAGGCGGGTGGATCACGAGGTCAAGAGATCGAGACCATCCTGGTCAACATGGTGAAACCCCGTCTCTACTGAAAATACAAANAACGTAGATGAGGCTAGGCACAGTGGCTCATACCTGTAATTCCAGCACTTTGGGAAGCTAAGGCGGACAGATCACTTGCAGTCAGGAGCTCGAGACTTCCTGATCAATGTTGGAAACAGATGCTCGGTGCTGCAAAGAAAAATTAGCACTGAGACAGAGGATCTTTCAGCAACATAATTTTTACTTCCTGGACTGCTGGAAGGGTACCCTCGCTAGCCATCCTGCCATGGGAGCACAATGAACAAAGGAAAACACAGAAATTTATCCCTTACCCATCCTTACTGCTGTGTCTGATCTCCATTGGCTGGAGTCAGACCTCACAATCTAAACTAAAACCCAATTGGCTAAAAGCTTAAAACTTTCTAAACAGGTAAAAGCAATGGAGAGCTGGGACAGGCCTGTGAGCATGTCCAGCACAGATATCCTGGTTAAAGTACAAGGACATAGAATGTACTACGTGCCTGTAAGCATGGCGTGTCTAACAGCTACAAAGGATAGGGCTTAACAAAGTTATTAGCACACCTGCTCTTTAACAAGAAAGAAAACTATTAAAAGGAACTTTTCTACTTCCTACAACCAACATGGTGAAACCCCATCTCCACTAAAAATACAAAAATCATCTGGGCATGGTGGCACGTGCCTGTAGTCCCAGCTACTTGGGAGGCTGAGGCAGAAGAATTGCTGGAACCCAGGAGGCAGAGGTTGCAGTGAGCTGAGATCGTGCCACTGCACATCAGCCTAGACAGCAGAGCAGGATTCCATCTCAAAAAAGAAAAACCATAAAGAAAGTAGATGAGTGGTTGTCCATGGAAGTGAGGATTGGTGGTGACGTCGCAGAGGCAGGATTCCTCTCAGGTGATGAACATGTTCTAAAGTGGGTGGTGGCGATAGTCACACAGTTCTCTGCTTTGAATTGCATCGCCTGTGAATTACGTCACCATAAAGCTATAAAAACGGGGAACAGTCTGGATGGATGACAAGATGCCTTTGGATGGTGGCCTTTGTGAGAGTCGCGGAGGGGCTAGGGTTGCCGGGCGAGAGACAGTCTCTTGGAGCTGAAGCCTAGAGCAAGACTTTAGCTGGTGCACGAGTGGCTTCCTTCTCTCTCCCACTCTACAGTTCAGAGATGGCTCAGGGAAAGATCTGGACTTCCTAACTGTGGAGAGGGGGCTGCACGCAGTGGAATGGACTCCTAAGTGGCAGGCAGGTGACAACCAGTGTCTAGTCCACCCGAGTGAAGATTTCACCAGGAAAGCGTGGTTTCTAGGTTCTGTCTCTCCGGGTCCCCTTTGAGAATATAATGGGGTACATTGTGTCCAAGCTGAAATCCTCACCCCAGGACCTCAGAATGTGCCCTTATTTGGAAACAGGGTCATTATGGAGGTGATGAAGTGACAATGAGGACACTGGGGTGGACCCTACTTCAATATGACTGGTGTCCTTATGAAAAGGGGAAGTGTGGACAGTCAGCCAGAGAGAACACGATGAAGATGAAGATGGCCATGTACAAGGGCAGGAGAGAGGCCGGAACAGGATCCCAGCTCCACGCCCTCAGAAGGACGCAGCACTGCCCACCCTGACCTTGGACTTCCAGCCTGCAGACTGTGCGAGAAGAGATGTCTTGAGTCAGGGCAGCCCCAGGAAGCCATCCCGAGGTCAAGGCTGTGGTTGTGCTCAGCTGGGGTGGGGCTTGGCCACCAGGGTGGGGCATGAGGAGGAGGTGGGAGGCCCAGCCAGGCTGGTGGGTCAGAACCCGTGGGGCTAGAGAAGCCGGCAGGGGAGCCTCAGGATTGCTGGGACCAGTGACCTTTGGCCCCCGCCGGCCTTGCCTTGGCCCAGAAGGGGTCAGGAGAGCCTGGCCCGCCAAGCTCAGACGGTCAGCAGGAAGCCTTGCGCCCTGCAGAGGGTCCTATCTTGTCCCGCAGGTAGTTCTACATCACCACTAGCCACCCCTCCGACCTGCACAGGCCTCCGCCCTCCAGAGCCTCCTTTTAGGTCTGGCAGGTCCTGCCTCCTCACCCAGAAGCTTCTCTGGCCCTCTGGAGTCGGGGCACGCCTCATGCAAGGACAATGCCCACATTCCTTTGTCCTCGGATTCCACTTGGCTGAGGTCTCCTTCCTGGGCTCCCGGGGTTTCCCGAGCCTGCTTTCGAAAGTCTGGCCTTTTCCTCTGTCCCTCCCTGTCTCAGGCTGGTGGGGTGGGGGAAGCAGCCCATTCCTGGGCTCAGAGAATCCCACCCCAGCTCAGAGGGTGCAGGACCGCAGCCAGGGACAGACCTCATCCCTCCCAGGGACTCCAGACCACTGTCTCTCTCAGGTAAGTCTCTACCTCTGTCTGTCTCTGTGTCTGTCTCTTTTTCAGCCGCTCAGCCTGGCCTGCCCTGGGAGAGGCTCCACCCATTACTCCCCCTCCACCAATAAAACCAGCTGAGTTTGTGCTAGACTGGGTAGAGAAGGCAACTGTCTCAGTGGTGCTGGTTCCTCCGGGGTGGGGAGTTGGGGTCTCTGAAGGTGAGGACCCTCTGAGGAGAAGGGTGCTTCTCTGAGACACTTTTCCTCACACCTGTCACTCACCAGCAGGTCCTGGCTCCTGGAACTCCTGGCCACCATGGGCATCACCAAGGTGAGCGAGAGGCTGCGTGTGCTTTTGTGGACTTGTCTGATAAAACACTGTAAGGTCGCAAGTGCCCTCAGTATTTCCCAGCTGCCTGTGTGTGAGGCTGTCAGGGGCGCCCAGTGACAGGTCAGCGATGGGATAAAGGTATTGTTGGAGGCGCTGGAGAAGGGCTGGGGTGCAGAGGAGAGAAAGCACCAGGCCCAGGAGCCCCTCACAGCCCAGAGAGCCTGGGGCAGCGGCAGGCAGCGCTCTCCTGGAAACCGCTCAGACAGCGCTTCTTTCAGGACCTGGCTCAGGGGGGCAGGCCCGAGAGCAGGGCCCAGGCATGGGCCTGGGTGCGTCTTCCTCCTTTCCTGGGTGCCCTCCCACTTCCCGTCCTCTACCCCTGCCCCACCCCAAATGAGAGGCCCACCAGACCCTCCAGGGAGCTCTGTGGCCCGTGACAATGCGATTTTCCAGGCTGTGGCCTGGCCTGGGTTCAAGACAGGGACCTGGAGGATATGTGGCTCCCACAGGCCGGCACGTGGCCTGTGTCATGGGAAATGGGGCTGGCAGGATGGGACCATCACTGCCTCCAAGTGTGCAGACAGCTGCCCTGCCCAGAACACCTCCCAGGCCCTGCACAATCTGTGGTGACGCTCACCACTCCGCGGTGAGGGAAGCTGGGCATATCACCCCCCAGACTAGGGCCTTCACATGGGGGCTCAGCGGGGAGTCTGTGGGGTGCCTCCTGCCTCTGCAGGTGCAACCACATGTCTGCAGGAAGGAGTGGCCCGGGCACTGTGGGCACAGGTTGGCAGTTGGAAAGAGCGGCAGGTTGTAGGGTGGACCTACCTGGCACCCCTGAATCTTAATCAGCTCCTCAGAGAGGAATGGCCACTGTGACCGCCCTAAAAGTTTTTTCTTGGCCACCTCTCACCTGGGACCACAGTGAGTGTGGGAATTCCAGCTGAGCCAGCCTGCTCCAGGGCAGCGTCCATCCCCCCGTGTGTGTGCATGGAGGAGGGTGTGTGTGCAGGGGAGACACCCCAGGGTCATGTAGGTCCTGCTCTTGGAAGGAAGGGTCACCCAGGCCTATGCGGGCCCTGCCTTTGGGCCTGCCCCGCTGAGCTGGCTCCTGAGATGAGCGCTCTCTGAACGGTTTCCAGGAGAGCCCTGCCTGCCCCTGCCCTGGGCTCTCTGGGCTGTGAGGGGCTCCTGGGAGTGGTGTCTCCTCTCATCCCGCACCCCTGCCGTGAGTGTGTGTGTGTGTGTGTGTGTGTGTGTGTGTGTGTGTGTGTGTTTGTGTATAACTTCTCTTTGGGGAAAGGGTAAGGTTACGCATGGGGCCTAAGTGTCACCATTATTTCTGCAGAACCAGTCTGATGACATTAAGAAACTGAATGCCAGAATGGTAATGCTTTTCCCCACGTCTGCTCATGGGTGAGGGGTCTGGGTCTCAGTCTGTGACACTGAGGACACTGTGGGCCACCTGGGACCTGGGAGGGACAAGGATCAGGCCCTTTGATGCCAACTCTGCCTCTCTTCACAGCATCAGTTGGTAGACAAATTTACTGTTACAATGAAACATGAGGAATCAGAACCTGAAAAGGTAGGTGGATTTTCCCTCCATCACCAGGTCAGATATCTCCGCCCTCAGGCTCCCCACGCTGTGGGGAGCTCAGGGTAAGACGGATGAAGAGGGACCCGAAGGCTCCCTCATCCCTTACCCTGGGCAAAGGCTTGCACCTGGGTGGCAGTGAGTGCACGGGTGGGGGATCTGGACCACCAGGGAGACTAAGGGAGGCATCCGAGCCCCAGGGCTCCTTGAGGAAATGACAGGGGTGGCAGATGTGGCCTGGGACCCTGCTGGACCCAGTTCGGGGTGTGTGGGAGCTAAGGACTGGCGGGGCGTGAGGACTGGCTGGTGTTGAGCGCAGGGGAGGCTGGGCCTGGAACCATGTGCTTTGCTCCTTACAGGTGAAGTCGAGCATGAATGATCTGGAGGTGAGCCTCGGCCTCCCCGCCCACCAAGCTTAGTCCCTGGGTCTTAGGCTCCACAGGTTACTAGGTCTGGGCTCTGGGTCCCCTTGGGAATCAACCTGGAGCAGTGGGGGCCACAGTGGGGAGGGGGCAGCAGGAGCAGCCTGAGCACCCTGTGTCTTCCTCTCCCCAGGACAACTTCAAAGAGTGCATTTTGGACACTGTGAATGATTGTTATCAGGGACAGCACCCGGTGAGTATGCAGCACCCATCTGTGTGCCTTTCCTCCCTTCACCTTTGCCCTGTCTTTTTTTTTCGACATGGAGTCTCACTTTGTCACCCAGGCTAGAGCGCCATGGAGCAATCTGGGCTCTCTGCAACCTCCCTCTCCCAGGTTCAAGTAATTGTCCTCCCTCAGCCTCCTCAGTAGCTGGGATTATAGACGTGCACTACCATGCCAGGTTAAATTTTATTTTCTACTTCTAGTGCAGACAGGGTTTCACCATGTTGTCCTGGCTCGTCTTGAACTCCCAACCTTTTGATCTGCCTGTCTTGTTCTCCCAAAATGCTGGGATTTCATGCGTGAGCCACCGCACCTCTCAGACCCCTGCCCTGTCTTGATGTTGGTGTGGGCAGGGTGTGCCCAGCCCCTGAGCTGGGGGTGGAGGGCTGGGAGTCACAGCCAAGCTGGGACCTGCCCCCAGCTTCCCCCAGCACACAGTGGCAGAGCCCTGCCTTCACCTCAAGCCACGATGGGGGCCCTGGCCTGGTGACCAAGCAGACACAGCCATCATGTCACTGCCATGGAGGGAAGTGGAGAGGAGGGGAGTCTGGGAAAAGTCCCTCCTGTCCATGGGGCTGTGGCCAAGAAACCAACACCTGTGGGCTTCCATCTCCCAGACTCAGGAAAAGGCTGAGAGGCCTGGGAGTGGCCAGGGCCTGGGGCTGACACCCCCACCTGCAGACCCCGAATGGTGTCCCCATTCCACAGGAGCTCACTCCTCTACTTGAAAAAGAAAGAGATGCATTACGGCACAGAGGCAACAGACCGCCTGCTCTGGAAGTTGAGGATCCCGAAACCCAGGAGCCCGAGGAGAGCTTTTGTGACAAGGTCCTGAGATGGTTCCGCGCCATGCTGCAGCGGCTGCAGGCGTGGTGGCAGAAGTTTGTGGCCTGGGTGAAGGAGATGGGGGCAGCCGTGGTCCATGCAGCAAAGGCCCTCTGGAATGTGTTTGAGAGTTTCTGCTGCTCTCTGCCAGAGCTCCTCAGGTCCTTTTTTCAGTACTAAGGAACCCCATGGAGGGCATGGAGGAGCTGACAGCCCAGAAGTGCTCTGAACCCCAATGAAGCTTCCGATGCCACTTTTGCCCTCCCCCTCACTTCGAACCCACCCTGACCCCTCCCTCAGCTCTGCTGTGCCCTGCCCCGCTCCCACACACCCAGCCCCCCTGCCTGGCGTTCCTGCTGCAGCTCTGACCTGGCACTGTCACGATGGCGTCTTAATAAAACGTTCTTAAACTTACCTGGCAGAGGAGATACTATGATCAGAAAGGTGGTTTTCCCAGGACAAGGCTCATTCGTTGCTGTATTAGTCCATTTTCACACTACTGTAAAGAATGCCTGAGACTGGGTAATTATAAAGGAAAGAAGTTAATTGACTAACAGTTCCACATGGCTGGGGAAGCCTGAGGAAACTTACAATCACAGGGGAAGGTGAAAGAGAAGCAAGGCACATTCTGCATGGCAGCAGGAGAAGCGGGGCGTTGGCAACTGCCAAGCACCTTTTTTTTTTGAGATGGAGTGTTGCTGTGTGCAGTGGGGTGATCTTGGCTTAACACAACCTCCGCCTCCCAGGCTCAACTGATTCTCCTACCTCAGCCTGTGGAGTAGCTGAAATTAGCCTGGCTGATTTTGTAGTTTTAGTACTGATGGGGCTTCACCATGTTGGTCAGGCTGCTCTGACCAACATGAACTCTTTGACTCCATGTCTCACATCCAGGGAACTCTGATGAAAGGGTGGTTCCCAGGGCCTTGGGCAGCTCCGCCCCTGTGGCTCTGCAGGGTCCACTCCCCACAGCTGATTTCAGGGGCTGGTGTGGAATGCCTGTGGCTTTTCCAGACACACGGTACAAGCTCTTGGTGGATCTACCATTCTCGGGTCTGGAGGACAGTGGTCCTCTTCTCACAGCTCCAGTAGGCAGTGCCCCAGTGGGGACTCCGCGTGGGGGCTCCAACCCTGCATTTCCCCTCTGCATTGCCCTAGTAGCTGTTCTCCATGAGAGCCCTGCCCTGCAGCTGGCTTCTACCTGGTCGTGCAGGCATTTTCCTACATCACTGAAATCTAGGCAGAGGCCCCCAAAGCTCAGCTCTTGTCTTCTGCACACCTGCAGGCCCAGCACCACGTGGAAGCTGCCAAAGCTTGGGACATGCACCTTCTGAAGGTACGGCCTGAGCTGTACCTTGGCCCTCTTTAGCCACAGCTGGAGCTGGAATGGCTGGGACACAGGCCGCCATGTCCCAAGGCTGCACAGAGCAGCGGGGTCCTGGGCCTAACTTGAATTTCTCTCCAGAAAATGGTTTTTTCTTTTCTACCATACCGTCAGGCTGCAAACTTTCCAATCTTTTCCAGTCTGCTTCCCTTTTAAGTGTAAGTTCTACTTCTAAAGCATCTCTTTGTGAGTGCATAGAGCCAGGCAGTTTCAGGAAAACACAGATCACGTGTTGAATGCTTCGCTGCTTAGAAATTTCTACTGCTGGTGGGGAGTGGTGGCTCACGCCTGTCATCACAGCACTTTGGGAGGCCGAGGTGGGTGGATCACGAGGTCAGGAGATAGAGACGAAACCATCTTGGCCAACATGGTGAAACCCTGTCTCTACTAAAAATACAAAAACTAGGCCAGGTGCAGTGGCTTACACCTGTAATTCCAACATTTTGGGAGGTCGAGGTGGGTGGATCACCTGAGGTCAGGAGTTCAAGACCAGCCTCAGCAACATGGAGAAACCGTCTCTACTAACAATATAAAATTAGCCAGGCAAGGTGGTCCACGCCTGTAATCTTAGCTACTTGGGAGGCTGAGGCAGGAGAATCGCTTGAACCCAGGAGGCAGAGGTTGGTTGTGAGCCAAGATCTTGCCATTGCACTCTAGCCTGGGCAACAAGAGCAAAACTTCATCTCAAAGCAAAAAAACAAAACAAAATAAAAATTAGCTAGGTGTGGTGGCACATACCTGTAATCCCAGCTACTCGGGAGGCTGAAGCAGGAGAATCACTTGAACCAGGGACTGTGATGTTGCAGTGAGCCGAGATCATTCCAATGCACTCCAGCCCACCCCTGCCCTACAAAAAAGAAATTTCTGCTACAAGACAAGCTAAATCATCTCTTTCAAGTTCAAAGCACCACACGGCAGGGGCAAATGCTACCAGTCTCTTTGTTAAAGCACAGCAAGGGTCTCCTTTACTCCAATTCCTAGCAAGTTTCTTATCTCCATCTGATATCCCCTCAGCCTGGACTTAATTCTCCGTATCACCATCAGCATTTTGCTCAAAGTCATTCAGGAAGTCTCTATGAAGTTCCAAACTTTCCCACATCTTCCTGTCTTCCTCTGAGCCCTCCAAACTGCTCCAACCCCTTCCTGTCACCCAGCTCCAAAGTTGCTTCCGCATTGTCAGGTTATTTTATAGCAGTAGCCACGCCTGTTATGAATTTTCTCTATTGGTACATTTTCACACTGCTACAAAGAATACCTGAGACGGGGTAATTTATAAGGAAAAAAGGATTAATTGACTCATAGTTCCACAAAACTGGGGAGGCCTCAGGCAACTTACAATCATGGTTGAAGGCGAAGGGAAAGCAAGGCATGTCTTACATGGTGGCAGAAGAGAGACAGAGACAGGGAGAGAGAAAGCAGGGAACTGCCAAACGTTTTTAAAATATCCGATCTCATTAGAACTCACTCAGTTTCACCAGAACAGCATGGGGAACCCGCCCCCATGATCCAATCACCTCCTCCCATGTCCCTCCCTTGACATGTGGGGATTACAGTTCCAGATGATATTTGGGTGGGACATGAAGCCAAACCATCTCGATTGCACTCCGGATGTGCTGACCCCTGTGACTTCCACAAATGTGGGACACTTGACTGCATCATCTGTGGTAGTGGGCACTGCATTCATACTTTCCCCTGAAAGCAATACAATAAAATAACAGTTGCTCAAATGGAATCAGGTGCCTGCTTTCAGGCTTCTCTGACAGGCGGGCACAGGGAGGCAGGGGGCCCAGTAGTGACAGCAGAGAATGTGGCTCTGATGGACGTACCCGGGTTACAGATGTGGAAGAGCAAGGCCAGGCCCCCGTCTTTTTTTTCTTTTCTTGTTTTTGAGACAGAGTTTTGCTCTTGTTGCCCAGGCTGGAGTGCAATGGCACAATCTTGGCTCACCACAACCTCCGCCTCCCGGGTTCAAGCAATGCTCCTGCCTCAGCCTCCAGGGGAGCTGGGACTACAGGCATGTGTCACCATACCCAGCTAATTTTTTGTGTTTTTAGTAGAGAAGGGGTTTCTTATGTTGGTCAGGCTGGTCTCAAACTCCTGCCCTCAGGTGATCCACCCACCATGGCCTTTCAAAATGCTGGAATTATAAGCGTGAGCCATCACACCCAGCAGCCCCTGACTTTCTTATGGATAACAGTGCATGGGTCTCCGTGCCCTGGTGGGTTGGTTGAGGACTAGAGGATTTTAGCCTGATGCATCCTTGATCACAGAGCTGGAAGCACAGAAGCGGCTCCCTAACCACCACCCCTGGGCCTGTGGCGCAAGGGACTTTGGGGCTCCATTTTTCTTGTCATGGCTCCCTCTTCTGCCCTCATCCCTTTGGCAGGGCTGGGGCCACAAAATCCCCTTGGTTTTCTCCCATGATCAGAGGCCCCAGGGGCTGGGGCGGAAGGGGACTCAGGAGCCCCCCACTGGACCCTGGTTTCAGGGTAGAGGCAAGAAGGCAGGGGTCAGATCTCTGGGCCTGAGGCCTCACCACACTGCAGTTAGTTGCAGAGCCTGGAGCAGCCAGAAGAAACGCCTGGGAGGGCACCTCTCACCATTTCGGGGGCCATGGTCTCCTGGTCCTGCAGAGGCTCCTCCACTTTCTGCCTCTGCTGACTCAGAGACCAGCCTCTCCCGCTCAGGGGAGGCTTGGCAACCACCAGCAGCTGCTGAGATAAAGATGGGGCTGGGGGCCCTGGCCTGGCTCGTCCCGTCCCATCCTGGGGTTCCATGACTCTGGTCTTTGGTCTGAGCAGGAAGGAGGAGGGGGAAACGGGCCATGGCCTGGGGAGGAGCAAACACCTGCAGGGGAGACTCCCTGAGCAGCTGTCCCAGGGCTCAGCCCACTGTCTGGGAGGGGCGCTGGCTGTTTGAGGATGTGAAGGGCTTGGGGACCAGGAACATTCCTGGGGGTCAGTATGCCCCTCCCTGGTCTGGCCCTTTCCACACTGCTATAGAGAATACTTGAGACTGGGTAATTTATAAAGAAAAAAGGTTGCAGTCTTGAGTTTTGGAACAAGCACTCCTTGGGACCAGCCTAGAGCCCAGCAGGGGAGACAGCTGGACAGTGACCCTGACATTCACCTTAAGTGATCCTGGTCACCCTGAGGGCCCTGCTTGCTTCCAGCCCCTGTCCCAGCAGCTCCTGCAGGGCTAGGGGAGGTGACCAGGAAGAAGGGTGTCCCCAGCCTTCCTGAGGAAAGAGGCAGCTGGATCCCGAGTTCCCCTCTGCAGATCCTCAAAGGGCCCTGCAGGCTTTTGTCCTTCACATCCTGCAGATCACTCTGACGCCCCGTTACCCTGGAAGGACTATCTCTGGCCGGAGCCCCCAGCTGTGAGGGGCCGCCCACAGCCAGGGCCCGGTCCTGACTCATCTTACCCTGGGCCACATGTGGGATCTCCCCTCTACCACCGTTCAAGTTCTTTCTCCCATTTCCCTGACCTCTCCAGTGATCCCGTGTCCCCAACGACTCACCGCTCTCATGTCCCCCATGGCTTCCTCTTACCTAGAAATCCCTCCTGCTGTGCTGTGGTCCCCAGGGGCTCTGGCAGCCCCACTGTCTCCACCTCCTTGCGGGTGTCCCCGGCCTTGCCTTTCTCAAGTCATTTCCATGCAGTAGCCAAAGCAGAAGTGACTATTGCTAGAGAAGAAATCCCTCCCTGCCTGCGCCCTCTGCAGGCCTCCCATTGCACATGAGCTCAGGGCTGTCCTGTCAGGCCAGCCATCAGGAGCTTTCCTGTCCCTCTCTAGGACAGATGCTGTCCAGCTGCAGCTGGGGCTCCTCCTTTCCCCCACCTGGCTTCCTGCTACTCCCTCTGCCTGGGCCACCCCTCCCACATCCTTCCCAGGGCGCCTTCCCCTCATTCCGCTCAATAACCCAGCACCTTCCCTGGCACACAGTAGGCACTCAATAAATCAGGAGGGCTTCCTGTGCTTCAAATGTGGCCTCTCCCAGCTCCTCACCCTCCATCTTTCAGTTAACTGATCCCAGCTCCTTGA